ACACACACACACACACACACACACACACACACACACACACACACACAGTGTTACCTGCAGACTGAAGGCCTTCTTTATACTCGGTGTCGGTAGTTTGAGAGCAGCTACAGGAGCCGGAGGAGCCGCCACCCTGCTGGGCTCCCGCTCCACTGGAGGAGATATCTGAGAGGAGGAGAGACAACACATTCATCCACCGCTCTCTATTCCAAGCACATCTGCACAAAGGGAGCTTTGACTAGACTCCTTGGTGACGCATAAAAAACCATTAGAGCCAACAAGAAGCTTTGACTGACTTTCCATAACTAAACCATCTGAATGATTGAAAAGCAGGTCTTCTTTAAACAATCTCTAAAACTACACAGTTCATCGCGGCCAGAGGCTGTAAATACTGTCATTATCACCAGATATTCATCTTTCCGACGGTCCTCAAACACATCATGTGTGATGAACGCTAACATCAGAAAAAGCAGCTAAAACAAAACGTAACATTATGTTTTATCTTCTTCTTGTCTCATTTAATATGTTGCCCCAAATAAACCGTTTACTGCAATCAGATTCTGGAAAAAACATTGTGAGCTCCTCAGTGCGACGAGGAAGCCATGATTGATTCTCCTGAGACCAACAGTCATGTGACAACGTTCTGTGAGAGACACGGTAGAGTTCGCTCTACGTGCCGTATTAAATTAAAGTCACATGTCCCCGCGACCCGAGTATGTTCTTCTTCTTTGGTTTATTAATGTTCTTCTAAAAAGGATGAATATAGTTCATCTATATCTGCTCGTCTTCTCCCTCCGTCTCTCTACCTGAGTGAAGGGCTGGGCGGTGGGGGCGGCCATCTTGTCTTTCCTGGGCCGTCCCTTCTTCCTCTTCTCCACCACCCCCTCTCCTCCGTCCATCAGCAGCTCGGGCTTCCTCTTGCTGAACGACAGGTTCTTGTTGATGGAGGCCATCTTGTCCTCGCTGTCGCTGCTGGTGTCGTCTTTGGTTTTCAAGTCTTTCAGGGCGGAGATGCCGTCCTTTGGCCTGCTGGACGAAAACACAAAGTCCCGGTGACTCCTCCACCTCACATTTGCACCATTTTTTCTTCCCTTATTCCGAGTCACTCACCTGTCCAGAGGCACCAGTCCGACTATGGAGGAGATGGTGGCGGTGACCCCCGGTGTGGCCTTTGATCTCTCTGTGAACCTGGAGTCCAAAGCCTTCATCGGCTCGATCTTGGAGGCGGAAGTGAGCAGCAGAGTGGACTTCACACTGGAGCAGAGAGAAGAAGAGAAGATCCAGAGTGATTGAAATGAAGGGTCAGAATTGACAGACGACAACACCACAGAAGAAGTCAGCTCATACCCGTCCTCCAGGCCCTTGGCGGCGCTGTTGGCTGGAGGCGAGGTGAGCATGGGGTCGTGGCCGGGCCTCAGGCCCAGAGAAGAGGCCTGTCCCGGGCTGGAGTCGGAGCTGAGCTGGGAGGTGAGCTGGTTGGACATGGAGGAGCCCGAGGGCAGGATGGGAGCGCTGTTGAACAGAGCCGGAGAGAAGTCCCTGCAGAGAGAGAAGACGGGACTATTTGTTGGTCTTTATTCTTGATCTGCGGTGCGTTTGAGCCCTCCGGGCCGCCATAGCGCTCGAATGTTTTCCCTACCCGGTGTCCAGCTGAGCGATGCAGAGCGGCGTGATTCGTCTTCTGCCGTCTGGGGTTCTCGTCTCCACTTGCTTCTTCAGAAGGTTCTGCAAGACCACGAAAAAAATAACACATCCAAGGAATTTAAGCTGAATATCTGTACATGAGTAATACCAGCCAACAGCACGGTTTAACCTGCGTCTAACTCTCTGTCCTGAACCAACCCAACGCTCAGCGCTGCTCGTTGGACGTCGCGTGTCAGCGTCTCACCTTCCTGATGTCCTCCAGAGACTCTCCGTTCATCACGCTGTTGAGTTTGGGGGCCGAGGACTCGGGCCCGGCGCCGCTCGCCCCCGAGTTGGCCTGGGCCGAGCTCTGCCGCTCCTGCTGGTATTTGAGCATCTCGGGGTTCTCGATGATGGTGGTGGAGAGCTGAGCCTCGGTGCTGGTGATCGCCAGACTCTTCCCGTAGATGTTCTGGTGGATGCTGTTCTGTACGCCAGAGAAGAGAGAGAGAGAGAGAGGGGAAGGGTTCATTTGAGTTCTTGATCATGCCGAACAAAGACTAGTTTTAGTCTCAGAGTTAAATAACTAAGTTTGGTGTGTTTGTGCGATTCCCTGATGTAGGGCGTCCAACCTTCTCCTCCTCGTTCAGCGGGTCTCCCAGTTCATCCAGAGAGAAGTCCAGGTAGGCGACCGTCCCGTCCATCGAACACACCAACATCCCCAGACCCGTCAGAGTCCTGACACACAAACACATCGGGCTCAGAGAGGAGGACGCTACGTTCACAGAGGAGTCGTCCTGTCGAGGAGATGTTTGTTTCTGTCGTGCAATCATTAATGAGTGTAGCCGGATCTTCTGTGCAGAAATACTGGCTTTAATCACAATGAACACACGTACCAACAAATACTAAATACAAAGAAGCTGCAGAGCATTGAAACTAGCTTCACACTATTCACTACAGCCCTATTTTAAACGATGTAAATGTAACCTGGGGAGCTTCTTTGACCTCATCTCAATGTTGCGTCTTTGTGCTACAGTGACAACCTCACGGGGGGAGACACTAACGCACACTCAAGACTCAAGACTCACCAGGAAATGTCCATAATGGATTTATCGAACAGATCATGGATGACCACCAGGGGGCGCTTCAGAGAGGTCAGCTGAAGAGGGGGACAGATGGACAGGAAACGATCGTATCGTCAGGAAACACACAGTAACTAGGACGGGGATATTTAAGCACAATTCAACTTTTTGAAAAAGCTGATACTAAAATTGATGTGTAGGCTTCATTCAAACGACCAATAGCAAAAACTACGGCAGCTTGCCAGGTGTTTGCCAGGTGTTTGCCAGGTGTGTAACAGGTGTGGGGTCAGAAAAAAGATACAAACTGTGAACAACTAAAGATTTGGCTTGAAATCGGCAACTTGACTGAGGAACCTGTGTCCCCGGTGCTGGACTTGCACGTATTAACATTTCCTAAAGCAAACTGACCCAGACGGAGAGTGATCGGTCTTTGCTGCCGACGGCGCAGCAGCAGTACGGACAGCCAGGTTTCGGGGCGCTGCCGTTCTTCTGCTTCTTCTTGAAGATCTTCGGGTTGAATTTCTACGGAGACAGAAACCAGATGCGTCAGCGTGCCGATGAACCGTGGGGGTGAAGTGCACAGGTGAAGGCTGAACGTGAGGCTCAAACGTCCTCACCACCACGGTCACAGCTTTACGGTGGCCCACGAAGTCCATGTTGGTCTTCCAGCCGTCTCTCTCCACGATCTGAGCGGTGGGGCCGGAGTTGTTCATGGCGTGAGCCGACACCAGATACTGACCGTCCGGAGACCAGGACAGACGCAGGACGTGGGTCGTCCCTCCACACTGACACACAGAGACGAGAGGAAAGTGGTCAAACCCTTGTTTGTGAACCGTGAGTGTGGAAGAACGGGCAGGAGAGCATACGGACAAGACAAACCTAAATACAATACGTAACAAATGTGGATGTTTCAAAGTAATGAGGCCACAACAATGACTTTGTTTACATGCACATACGTTTTCCACTATTATTCACAATATGACAATATTCTGAATTTGATACGGGTCATGTAGACACCATATTCCATTTAAATCCCTTTGTTTTCCTAATGTGGCATTTTCCGATTTCGACTTGATGAATGACACGTTAGTCGGAGTATGTATGAAACATACATTTCCATCAGCCATGTTACAGCTTAATAGGATTTGTGTGGTTCTCGGTGTCCGGGCAGACACAGCTGACTGTCCCTGTACCTCGTTGAAGGGTTTGGTGATGTTGGCCTCCATCTGCCAGTCCACCGTCCTCCACACTCTCAGGCTGTGATCGTCGGCCTGCGAGGCGATGTATTTCCCCACCGGATCCCACGTCAGACCTTTGACCAGCCCGGTGTGTCCTCGCAGACAAGTCACCATCTCTGGACGGACACAAAGGAGACAGAGACAGGATGAGAGAAACGTCTTCCTGCTCTAATGACATGTTATTCTGCTTTGAAAACAGAGTAATCGGTCAGTCATTTACTACCAAACGTTGGAGTTTCAGCTTCTCAAGTATGTAGATCTACTGCCTTTACGTATCTCAGGAATACTTAGGTTTGAACGTATCAGTCAGGCAAGATGAGCAACTTGATTACGTCACCTTTGACTGAAGGAATAAAAAATAAAACCTGCAGTATAAATTGCAATACAGTATACAGAGAGGGTTTCAGTATTTTACCTGGAAACTTGCGAGCGTTCCAGATGACGATGGTGTTGTCCACGCTGCAGGAGGCCAGCCACACGTCATGAGGAGACCACGCCACGTCCATCACATCTACCAACACACACACACACACACACACACACACACACACACACACACACACATCACTGCCTGAGTCTAAAGACATATTACTACTTCACCCTCTGAAACTTTATGTTGTTCTCTCTGTGGTCTTGATTTTTACTGTAATATAAAGTCCTGCTGCTCTATCGAAACACAACCATCATGACTAGAACCACCCCCCTCCTCTCCTCCACCCGCCTCTCCTCTCCTCTCCTCTCGAATTTCAGTCAGTTTCTCACAATTTAATGTTTTTACACAATCTGGTTAAAGTGAACGCTTTATAAGAGTAGATTTTAAATGAGAACATGAAGAGTAAAATGTTTTTGATGAAATATAATTTAAAGCTTCGTTTGACATGATGTGTTCAATGACCCTCGGAAAGATGAAACTCTGACGATTATGACTTTTACAGCTTCTGGCTTTGATGAACGGTGTAGATTTGGTGATTGTTTAAAGAAGACATGCTTCTCCATCACGCCGGCGGGTTTTGGGGTTCAGAAGGTTGACAGCTCCAGGTGGAGTTTTGACTCCTCGTGTTACTGTGGTGCTGCTTTACTACGAGTTCAGTTTACTTTGCAGGTGATGTTTACACACTCCTGCCAGTGTCTGATAGCGATCGATCAGAGCACCCTTAACGTTGTGTGTGTACATGTATATCAGAGTGTGTGTGTGCGTTACCTCCAGT